TCTTTGACAATTTTGATAATGCATTTCTCAAAAACTTACTTTTACTAAATATTTTGAATTAGGTTATTTAGTTTAATCAATCGCTAGTACTATATAGGAGAATCTTTGAGTATTGTGAATCGGGATATATTGAATTAAGTACTTTCGAAATTAGGGCCTATGATGATACTAATTCTTAGTAAATTGAGTTTACTGAGGCCGTTGAAGTATTCTATGAGCTGGGTTACTGTTGTTATGAATTGAATTGAATTTATTATATTAACTCATATTATAAATTAAGTTTGCTTATTTAGCAATTTCAATTATATATTTCTTGAAATTTTATTTTTTATCAAATTATTTATCTGAATTATTAGATATTTTGAATTAGGTTTACTTGACAGTATTATATATTAAGCTTATTTGAGAACTCTTTTGGTATTGTAAATTAAGTTATTATAAATAATATTATGTATGTAAATTAATTAAAAGTTAGCAATATAATAATAATAACTTTACTTTATTTTTGCAATAAAGATTCTAATTCTCAAGATTTAAATAATAAATTTAAGTCAACTAAGTTATTTGAATAGAAAATTATAATTTTTAGATTTTATTAGTTTGAATAAATTATAATTAGAGTAAAAGTAGATATTAGTAATATTATATTTATTTAATTTGATATAAATCTTTAATATAATATATAAAAATATAAATATTAATAAGAAAAATTGGTTTAATAAAATTAATATTTAATAAAAGTAGTTAGACTAGTTATTATTTATTTTTTGCCATTCTTTCAAGCACATACATGCTCTAATTGTTGTAGGATTTAAATTACATCTTCTAGAAGTAATTAATTCTTTGGCAGCTGAAAATGCTCTTTCTACAGAAACACTTGTAGCTAAATATTAAAATTAAAATTTTAGAATAATTATATTTATAAGATAATATCAATAAAATTTAAATATTATACCTTGAACTGATAAATAATCTTTTGCCATTTTAGATAAATATTTAAATTCACATTCATGATTCTATATTTTAAATATTATTTTAAAAAATATTTATATTATTTATAAAAAAATTAAAAATTATTATTTACCTTCCACCATAATAATATATCATCAAAAAAATATGGATTTACAGTTGGATTTCTTAAGTATATTTCTAATTCATCATTATATATAGTTTTTCGTTTTTTAAAAATACGTGGTACATTTTCATTTGATATATTTTCGTCAACAGAAGTTTGAGTTGGTTGATATTTAGATTTCCATAATTCTTGAATTTGATTTCTATAAATTTCAATATCTTTGTTGTTAAATCCATTTTCTCCATAATAATCTAATCTAAGCCTTGGATCTAAAACTAAAAATATAATATAATATTAATAAATAAAAATTATAAATCTTTAACAAAAAATAAATATATATATAATATATACTTGTTCCAATAATATAAACTAAACTATTAGCATCTGAATAATATTTGTTTAATTTAGTTCTGGCTTTTTTAATTGCTTCTTTAATAATTAAATCAGAACAATTGTTAATAAATTTTTCTAATGCATCAAGTAAATCATGATAATATGGAATAACTAATCCAATAGTTGAATATTTGCAACCACTAATATTAATAGTTGCTTGTTCAAAATTCTAAATTATAAAATAAAATTAATAAAATATAAAATTTAATATATAAAAATTTTATAATATATATTTTATATACTTTTAATAAATCTTGAATCATTATAATTTGATTCCATTCTTCATGAGATAATGAATAATTTTCAAATTCTTGATCAAGTTTTGTTATTATATCAATTGCCTAATAAAAAAATAATTTATTAATAATAAATTTTTATAAATTTAAAAATTTTACTTACTTCTCTTAGTTCAAGTGCTCTTTTTAACATATAATATGTTGAGTTCCATCTTGTTTTTACATCAAGAATTAGTTCAAGATTATTAGGATTATATTGAAAAAATTTTTCTCTGCGTTGTGGTGATGAATAAATTATCATAATAATTTTTCTAAGCTTTTATAATAATTATATATTAATATAATAAAATAAATATA